TGCCGCACAGGCGGGCTCGTGGCACATTTGTATTATACATGCGCATCCACCTGCCTGTGTCAGCAGATATGCCGCTACACGCCCACACACGCTCTCTTTCTTCTTCTTCTCTCTCGCACACAACATATATATATATATATATATATATATATATATATATATGCACAAGCACAAAGAGTACTCACATTACTGACGACGAGGAAGTGATAAAAAAAGTTGCTTTTTTTTGCATATTTTATTGATTTTCTTCTTGTGTGACCTCGTCATTATTCACACACCGTCGTGTTCAGTTCTTCGGGTGGAGGACACCCGTGTAATGGTTACATACATGCCTATGCTGGACGGGTCCGTGAAGGGGTGTGCCTGAGAAGAGAGAGGTGCTTCTGGCCCCGGCCGCTCCTCTCACCGCAGCTGCCGCGTGCTTTCCAGTGTTGCCTTTTTGTTTTTGTTTTGTGTGCTCTCAATCTTCCCTCCATCCGATTTACTCTCTTCATCTTTTAGATCTGCTGCAGACGCACATTTCAAGAGCCAATCGCACGCACAGACCCACAGGCACACGCAAAACGTCCACGCCAGCCGTAACAAGTACTGACAGTACTAGTGGGGTGGCTCAATGCCGCAGACGATGTGGCGGCGGTCAGGTAGCGTTTTTGCATCATTGCGATTGCTTTTGCTTCTTCTCTCGCTGCTGTTCTCACACGTGTGCGGGGCGGCGTCGACAGACGGTGGTGACGTGGAGGATGCAGCGGAACTTACGAGGCGGGAATACCGTTGCCGCACCTGTGTGACGCTGGCGACTGTGTTTCAAGAGGAGATTTTGCGGCCTGCCGCGGGGATGCAACAAGCAATGTCGGCAGCGGCAGGACGCAAAGAGAGCGACGCTGTGCGGGCGGGCGCGCGGCAGCGTCTTGTGGTGAACATGCACGACTCCATCGACGGACTCTGCCATCGCGTGCGTGAACTTCATCGTGCGGAAAACAAAATGCGTGCCGTCGATGCCTCTGGGCTTGGCAGTGCGGAGGAGAGACGGGACAAACTTCGACTGCACGAGGATGACCTCCTCGGCTCAAGAAGAGCGCTGCGGGGCGCCGTTGATGACCTCTGCGAGGCGGTGCTAGAGGAGGTGAATGAGCCACTCAGCCAGAAAGCATTTGCGGCACTGCTGCCGAACGGTGTGAGGCCCGACGAGGCGTCGGCGACGGAGAGCGATGCGGCGCATCAGTTGGGCGGGGCGGGCGCATTCTGCGAGCGGCAAGGAATATGTAGACCCTCCACTCTCCAGACGATTGCGCGGGAGGATGCGACACGGCGACGACTAGTGCAGCAAAGGACTAACGCGCCACAACATTCTCTGCCATGGTGGGGAGCGTCTAAGGCGGCGTTGGTGGCGCCAGCCATCTTACTGGTGCTGCTTACGGCTGGGATCTTGTTGTACTGCCGCAGGAAGTGGCGCACGACTGCTGTGCGTGACGCACACACAAAGAGGGATTAGACATCACATTACATGCCTCCTCCGCGCTTGTTGGGTGGGCCGCTTGCTCGAGTGCGTTATCCACGAGAATGTTGGGCGTTATTTAGAGGCTGTCTAAGTCTGTGGTGCGGTGCAGGGTTTCCTCAACCATGAGGACCTTTGAGGTGTTTTGCGCCGTGTTTTTTTTTTTTTTTTTGTAGGGGAGGGGGGTTGGCTTCCTCTGCCGGTCTGCGATTTCACTGGATGTGTGCAGGCGATGAGATGCCGCAGCAGCAGGGGTGATGTGCGTACCCCTCGCCTCCATTGCAGAGATCTCTGCGTGGTATCCCCCAACTTCACCTGCACGATGAATGCATATGCGGTACCGTCCCGAGAAGAAACTGACTGCCCCTCTGGAATTAACTCGTGTGCTTGTTCTTCGCTTGCTCGCGGGACACGTGGCTCATCCTCGCCACTTTTTTTTTGTGTGTTTGTTACATTTAAGATGTTTATATAAAAATATATATGTACATATGTCTCTCGTTCTACTTGATGTTGGCTCTTCACGGGGGCCGCAGCATCACTGCTACACACGTGCATGCATACACCCCACGTGCTACCCTCATTTCTCTTTAGTTTTAGTTGTAGTTTTCTTCTCTTTGCCTTCGGTGATTGCAGAGTGTTTTTGACTGCCCAACAGCAGAAAGTCTTTTATAAAGTAGAGCAACTAGCGTTTGCTGGGAGAGCGGGGCGGTTGGGGTAGTCTTCTTGCCGCGTTCTTTTTTTTTTTTGCTGCTTCTGTGCCTTTGGGCCTGCACCTATCCGTGCGTGTGTGCGTGCAGAACACTCCTTGAGGCGTTGGCTGTAGACGGGGCACGAGGAGGAGGAGGAGGAGGAGGAGGAGGTCGCGCGTTGGTGTGGTATGGTTTTGACTCTTGCGCAGCTTATCTTTCCACGGCGCCACCCGCGGGGAACTCTCTCCAGGGTCACCCCACTGCAGGATGACGTGACCACGCTTTCACCTTCGCCTCTCAAGGCGGACTCCTTTACGGATCGTCTTCCCTTCTGGCGACGTCTGTTGTGTGCGCCGGAGCTGCCCGACATGAGTCTGCAGGCCTCCTCCGCCTCCCTGCAGCGGGGCGCAGCACACGTCTCAAGCAGCCGTGCCCCCTCCATAGTTACTTCAGGGCCAGAGTCGAAGGTTACGTCAGCTGCCATCGCCAATAGAGGGAAGGACGGGTCTCTGAGAGCCACGAAGAGTGTCTTTGCGGGGCCACTGCAACGCGCTGCGCATGCGGATAACGATGGGTGCGTGCGGTCAGATTCATTTTTCTCCGCCGGCGCTGCATCTGTGCCATCCTCGCGTTGGATGGTGAGTGACACACGCCGCATGCACACAAAGGCGGAAGCCTCGCCGAACAGCTGCTCGTCCCCGACCTCGCCGTTGCCACGCTTCGGCTCAAGTTCAACTCGGTTGCAGCTGAAGCATGCACGCAGCGAGCAGATGAAGATGGAGGCGCGACAACGAAAAGAGCTTCAGCGGGATGAGGTAGCGTTGTGGACGGAAGAGAAGCAGCGCCGACTTGGTGCCCTCGTGCAGGACGAAACATGCGACGCCCCGTCGTCACCGTCACAGTCTGTTACGCTTAGTGGGGAAGTATTGGCGCAGCACAAGGCGGAGACCGACGAGAACGCTGATGTGTACGGCTTAGTGAACTCGTGTGTGGTATCTATGGAGGAAACGGACGATGAGAGTAGCTACATCGAGGGCGATGACGCGATTGACCTTCAAGACCTGAATCGCCTCTATGACTATTACAAACGTCGGGATAGAACGGTGGCAGCCTCGGAGCAGGAAGGGGCAGTGACGGATGCTGCTGTCGTTGCGGTTCCAGGGACAGACAAGCCTAAGCGGGCACGGTGCTACGAGCTTAGTTCACGCAAATACATTGAGCGTGTGGTTCTGGCACAGCGGTCACAGCAGACGATTGCGCTCTTGTGGCTTCTTGCAGAATCCATGCGGCACGCCTGGAAACTTCAGTACCGTCTTGCCCAGCTTTACGTGAACTATGTGCCCTTTTACCTACAGGCTGGTGGAGGGGTTGTTGGTAACGGCGAGGAAAGTCATCTGTGGGACATCACTGAGAGTAAGTACTACACCTACTTCTGTTCGGGCACCTTTGATTACGAGTACTACATGTATCAGTTTAGCCAGAAGTGGGAGACCCTCTTTGGGGATGTCCAGCACTACCTTTGCGATGACGCCACTGGACACGCCGGGAGCGTTGGCGTTGCGGCCACGCTGCTGTACTCTATGGATCTCTTTGAGCGGCAGCATGAGCTGCAGGTGGCGGTGCGGGAGGTGGAGCAGTGGCTACAGGCACGCTGGAAGCGCATAAGTGAGGCCGCCGCGCTCGTGTCATCCTCTACTCCCATCACTACCGAGATGGGGGCAACACATAGCAGAAGTAGTAGTAGCATCGGTGAGGGAACTTCCACAACCGTGACGCGGGGCGACGCCGCCCACGCGGGTGACGGCGACGAGTGCGGTTCGAAGGAAGAAGGCAGTCCACAACTTGTCCTTGCCAACCCCGTGGGCATCGCACTTCAGGCCGTCAACCAGAATGAGCAGGAGATGACGTACATTCCCATCGACTGGTGGAGCGCGCAGGACGCGGATATTCGCGCCCATGTTAGTTGGAATCGAAGGAAGCAGAAGTTTCGCCAAATTTCTCTTGGAATGGCGGCGCTGCGTAAAACGAACCCCCTTGAGTTTCCCGACAGCATCGTCAACAACACGCAGGACCCTGCGCCGCAGCTGCAGACGTGGCTGCCGGGGATGCTTGAGCCCATCGTGGTGGACGACATCGAGGAGGAGGCGCATTCCCACCACGTCGTCAACGTCGGCTGCTTTGGCTTCTCATTCTTCTCGCGATGGGATTAAGCACGAGACGGTTCAACCGTCGCGCGACACACGCTGCAACGACGACAACCGTAAATGATGGGGGACCTGCTGGGGGGTGGAGGAAATACATTCACACGTCCTTCTTTCTCTCACTGTGCTTTTTCTGCGTGCGTCGGGGGTCGTCTGAGGCGTGTGCTCGTCGCCTTGTTTTGTGAACTGAAATCGCGGATGAAGTAGTCGGGGGAAAACGAAGTAGGCAAAGTAGTAGTCACAAGTTGTTAACGTGTCCGTGTCTCTTCTATCAACAACTAAGTTTTATGCAACTCCTTTTGTGTGTATGCGTGTGTGTGTGTTTGTTTTTTTTATTCTACTGTGTATACCATTCCCTGAGCGGGTGGGAAGGCGTTGACGTGACGGTGGCGCTACTCCCACAGCGAGCGGAAGGGGGGCTTGTGCGGGTGTAAATGCAGCCGCCACCAGCCGCACAGGCGCAAATGACAGTCTCCCGTGCGCGCCCACACACACCCCGCTCAGACGGGGCGAGCGAGGGAGGGATAAAATCAAAAGTAAAATGTACACCAATAATATCAAAAACGAAACACGAAAAATGGAAGAGGCCATGCGCATACAACATGTACGGAGCCCTTCTTGGGGCGGTGTAGATGAGAAGAAGGCAGAGGAGGGAAGGGAGGGGGGAGGCATCGATGCGTCTGGCGTCAACGAATACGTTGCAGTTCAGCTGTCGGTGCTGGCTACATGATGTGAGATATTTATGTATGCAGGTATCCGCCTACCTATGCCAGTCGCCTCCTCTATTTCCCTTTTTTTCTTTTCCTGCTGCGAGTGTGTGTGTGTGTAAATATGCGTGCCTAATCGTATGGGCATTTATGTGAAAGTATTTCACATAAATGTGTAGCTTTTTTTTTTTAACTCGTTGATTAGTGCGGCTTTTTCTTGACCATCTTTTTTTTTGGCTTGCCCGCTGCTTCTTCTATGGCTTTGCTTCCTCTTGAAGTTGCGGATAAGAGGAGTAGGAAGTAAGGAGGCAATAAATAACCGAGGTGATGAGAGTTGATGAATAAAATTAAAAAAAATTATTGAAGGTTTTTTTGTTTATTTGTGATGGTGGTGGTGGTGGTGCTTAAAGGAAACACGTGTGAGAAACAATAATAACAGGCCCACACACCTGCTCAGGCACGGCCGTACATGGAGAAGGTCTGTACGTGTGCGTGTGTGTGTGTGGCGGGGTACACACATCCCGCGAGCAGGCATGCGTGGGAAGGGGACAGTACGTAAATGACTGAGAGAACGCTGGTAATTTATTTGAGGAATGAGCGAGAGAGAGAGAAATAGCG